TCTCTCTCTCTCTCTCTCTCTCTCTCTCTCTCTCTCTCTCTCTCTCTCTCTCTCTCTCTCTCTCTCTCTCTCTCTCTCTCTCTCTCTCTTTGCGCGACCAGTCGGCCTCTCGTCGGTCGATTATAATATAAATAAGAATTTATCGGTGCCTCGCGGGCGTTAGGTTAAAAGGTTTACGTTTATTAATTTCGCTAATCCTCCCCTGAATGCGCAGCAGTGCGTACGAAAAAGGGGAGAAAAAAAGGTAAACGCCGCGTAAAATGCGGCGTTGGCTCGTGCGCCCCGCACTCGTCGTCTCCTTCCTTCTCATGGATAACTTCTTCCTTCTTCTCCTCCTTCTCGTCTCCTCCCTTGGCTTGCGTCTTCGCGCGTCTATATTCATTCTCCTCTCGCTCTTTTCTCTATCTTCATTATTCACTGTTTATGGGATATTAGTGCCGCCTGGCGATGAAACGCGATGAAAAATAAAATAGGAGTGTCCGACGGCGCGCGAGAACGCGCCGAACCGTTTGGTGCGCTCAAGAGGAGCGAACGGGAAGCGACGATCTCTCTCGCCGCGTGCGTGTGCTTAGCGTCAATATACAATATTACCTTTACGAAATTCCGTCTCGGGATCCTGTCGAACCGTCTCCCAGGATATTGTCGAAGACCGGAACAGCGGGGATCGCAAGTTAAACAAAGGACGGCTCTTCAGCGCGATTATTTTACACGCTATGCGATTTTACTATAGTCGCGAAAGAACACCGCACCCGATGAAATAATCCGACTTTACGTCTTTTTGAGACGAGCGCAAACGTGACTCGTAACGTTTGTTTCACAGCCAACGGCTTAATTATCGAGACGCGACGACCACCGAGTGCGACACGGGAATCGAAGGCTGAACGACAGCGGTGGTAACCGCTCCCGAAACGGTCAAAATTTTTCGAAAACCGCGGGTCGGTTTTAGCGCGCGCTTTAATTAATAAAGGCACATATACTCCCGGGCTGCAAGATAGAGAACCCGAGATGTATCAGGTCGGTAAATTATTGGTCGGTGTTATCTGGCCGCGCTATTGGGCGCCCAGGTACCTGCTCTCATCCACACGCCTCGAAGCATTCACACGTAAAATTACGTTATCTCCTCGTTTCTTGGGAGGCGAAAGATACGCGTCCCGAGTAGTACGCTCTCCCTCTCTCCTTTTCTCTCTCGGCTACAGGTAGATAGATCGTCGTACAGGCTACGTAGACGCGCGCGCGTAAAACGATCGAGGGAACCGGCAGGATCGCATAAACTCTCGAGATTTAAGCGCCGCGAGGCCTCTCCGACGAGGAAACCATCTTCCACTTCGACCACCACGAACATGCTCTTAGCCACTCTGGCTGTGTTTAACAATGTTTCACTCAAAGGTGAGTCAAACGCCACGTTCGAGCTTAATGGCGTGCGGATGGGGACGTGAGTGAGAGAGAGAGAGAGAGAGAGAGAGAGAGAGAGAGAGAGGGGGGAGGGAGAGAGAGAATAACTCGCAGGAAATTAATATCTGTAGATTAACACAAGAGAACGTAAGCTACGTCGTTCGGATAATTTACCGCGATCTCGGAAATCGGTCAAGTCCGATGCACCCTCGACTCGCTCGTGTCTTCCTCGTGCATTACAGGCATCGTAATTATGTTAGTTGAAGCATTCCGGAGAAATGTGTACTTTGTGTCGGGAGCCGTTAGGGCTTTATAAGATTTGTTTATTTTTTCTGCTACGAGGCAGAGAGAGAGAGACTTTACATAGCGACGGATTATTCGGCTTTGTGCGATTCGCCTCGAGAGATATACAACAGCGCGCGGGTTAGGCCGGCCTGTCGAAAGCCGACACGATATAATCCGCATATCCTGTCTTTCACATGCAAAAGGTGCGGAAATCCAGTCTTAACGAGCTAATCCGAAAAGATTACGGTCCATGAGAGATTATGTCTTGATCCTGTTTAGGATCCTCTCTTCATCCGATCGATTAGTCATAGTGCCGAGGTGACAAGTGGCGGCTTGACGTTTTATGTCTACCGTTACTACACACAGAAAAATAGATGCTACACCCGAGTAAGTGTTATTTATTTTAAAAGTATCTCAGAGAAGTTTATATATCCGCAAATATATCTATCAAACTTACATCACAAGCATCAAATTTACTCAAAATCATAGTGTTGCATCTCATTAATGACACTAGTGTCATTGTCATATGTGAACAAATCTTCTTTCAGCAATTGACTGTAGTTATGCAAGAATGATCCAACTCACATAAAATATGTTTCAAGAAAAATGAACATAAAAATTCGATACATGGTTTAAGAAGCTTAGATAGTATTGAGATTCTTTGTAATATTGAAAAAGTCAAGATCAATTTATTCTTAAGAATAGTCATTAACAAAATTAAAAAAAAAATAGATAAAAAAGATACAATTAGTAAAAACTGACACAACTAGTTAAAAGTAAGATCTTTTTTGTTTTATGTAGAAAGACACATAGACTATTCATTGCTGACAAAAACTCAAATATCATAATTTTGTGCACTTTAATCAAGAACAAAATTCTAACAAAAATTCGATTTATTTACCACATAGAAAGTAAAGTGAGTAATCGTTTTTCTTAACAAAGAATATTTTTCTGCGTGTACGTAATATTTAGAATACGAATCTTCCGTCTACACTCAAATTGAAATTTTGTTTCTACATTAACTCTGTAAGTTCCGTTGAAATTGAAAAATTGAAGAAGAATTTTTAAATGCAATACCATATCAGCTATTGTTCTACTTTTGATGCTTTACAGTTACCATTATTTTCTCTATGCTGAAGCTTGAAAGAACATGTTTGAGAGTTATTTAATATTCGATTATCTCGACACACACACATTCCATCTACATTTAAACTTTATATATTAATTATATATTTTACTCTCTTCGCATATTGCAGATAAATGTGTGATAAGTAAATATTAAATAATCTAACAAAAAGAATAATATAATAATTGATAATAAATAATAAATAATTAATAAATGAGAATATGTAAAGTTTTTTTTTTTTATAATCTCTTCTTATTTTTTTATCGGAAATTTTATCCAGATTTAAAAATTTAAAAGTTATAAGGACAGAAATAACAATAATATATCTAAATAATGCTGCATACCAAGAAATTTGAATTTTAACTCTGTGAGATAAGGATGAAACAAAAGTGAAAAAAGACGTTGACAAATATAAACAAAACGGATGTAAATAAAACTTGTAATTCGTTATTAGATGTAAAAATCAGTACTTGCAAGACTTAGATTCTAAATATCGACTCGGGTATTTCCTTATTCATTAAGAATAAACTCCCGTTAAGATAGGAAATATTCCGTATAACAATTGCTTTGACACACCTGGAAATGCATTCACATCCAGCATCCTGCTTCCGGCTATTCCATCGTAACACTGACATTGGTATCGACATTGCACTCGCATAAATACGAATTGATCTGACAAGTAAATCTACTCAAAAGTTACATTCCGATTTCTTTCTAATTTGACACAAACGTAGAAGTACAGAAAATATTTAGGTTATATTCTTTCATTTTGGCTCACTTTGAGTTTCACGGACAGTTTATAGCTTTTTAATGTTCTCACTCCTATCATCAACAAGTGCAACAAAAATGCGTAAGAAATAAAATTGAACACAAGATATAGGCGTTTCGCCTATATTATTTTACAAGAATAGGCGTTGGTTTGCTGATTATGAATATAAAGTCAAATGTGTAAAATTATTTGTATAAATAAATAATTATTTGTAAATTATTTGTATAAATAATAAAATGTTTAAACAAAGTATGTAAAAAGTTAAAAAAAAATATTTATACAAATACTTTCTCGGTTTGGCTGAGATTTGAGCTGTTTTGAATAATTTAGTACAGATTTGAAATATTTGGGTTGGAATCTCGGCTAAAGGAATTTAGAATGATTCATGTTTCAACTATGCCGATTTTGTTAAAATTATTGAACTATATCTTCAACTATATTCAATTTTATTATGCATTTTCGTTGTACTTGTTGATGATAGAAATGAGAACATTAAAAAGCTATAAACTGCCCGTGAAACTCAAAGTAGACTAAAATGAAAAAATATGTGAAAAATATGACCTACATATTTGTTATACTTCTACATTTATGCCAAATTAGAAAGAAATCAGAGTGTACCTTTTGAGTAGGTTTATTTGTGAGAATACGTGTTATAATTAACGCAACGTGCCACTGAAAATCCGATGAAATATTTTAATCCTCCATTGCCCATTGCGAAGTAACAATCCATTTTCATTATTATTTATCTTCAATATGAGTATTGTTCTTGTCTTGACTGATGTGACGTGAGTCACAATACAGCTGCCTCTTTTTAGTATATTGGCGACGGTAGTGACAGTTTAACGTGATCTTAGAGTCACAACCCTATTTTGGAAAAATAAAAGATTAGAAAAGTAAAATTTTATCTTATATGTGTTGAGTACTTTAGCTTCA